TGTTGTTGCTCTTGCTGCTGTTGTTGTTGCCAGCGGCGGCGGCGGTGGTGGTTGTAATAGGAGCACGAGGACTACTGCTAGTACGAGTCGTGCTTGAAGTGATCGTCGTGGTTGTCTTCTTGCGGATGGCTTCCCTGCGTTAACTGTTCAAAACGGCTGCTTACCTTTGCTGAGGGACACTCTGGGTCCAGCCTGCTCCTGTGATTGAGAGGTGTCTGTCGACACAGTCATAATCAAGAACATGAGCCAGGTCTCGATCACCTGCTCTGTCATGTGAACGTTTCGGCTGCACAGGATACCGACTTGGAGCCCGGCCATCAGAATCACTAGAGTCAGGTCGAACCTCCGGTGGTGGCTTACTTAGACAAACGGCATCGATAGAATACTACTAGGCCAGCCGAAAGGCACGAACCACCTGTCCCTGAAGGCGTTGCACATCCTGGAGAATGCATGAAGTCGCAGAACGATCTCCGCAAAGAAGAACACACAAAAGAGGTTTTCGACGATAATGAAAGGAGGATCGGCATACGCCAACACCTCTGCTGGGTTGAAGCTCATCTCAATGCCAATCCAAATGGCATTCAGGAAGATGACGGCCATGCAGGTGTTCTCAAACCATGGGCTGCGAACAATTTTCTGCGTGATGCCTGTGGTCTTGTACTTGTCCTTCACATTTATGGGCTTGTCGAAGAGCTCCTGCACCCGGTCTTTCATCATGAGGCTCCGGCGCTTGTTGTCCTTTTTCTTCTTTTTCTTGCCTGAGCGGATGTATCCGATGGCTATGTCCTCGTCTTCCTGGTCGTTGGTAGTGGCCTTGTCCTCGATCTCTGGGCGCACCTCATCTGTCCCCGGCAGCTCCATGGTGCTGTAGTCTACTGAGGCCGCCAAGCCCTGCAATGCCGGGTCCGGACGCGGATGATGAGAAGCGGCCCAGGCATCCAGCTTCGACTGCGCTCGTTCCAGACGGTCCAGCGGGTTGCTCTGCGTGGTACTCAGCTTCTCCAGAAAGGATGTGACGGTGCCTTTCACAGGCAGGCCATCTGCTGTCTTTTCGTGCATAGGGGGTGCAAAATCGGCATTTGGAACTGCCCAGCTCATGTCATTCCACATGGGACTTTGCACATTTTGTGAGAGAATGCCTCCATAACCGGCTCCAACAGCCTGCATGGCCGCAAGCTGCTCTCGTAGCTCGAAGTTCTCCGCCTGCACGAAGCGATGCTGCTTCTCGCACTCCAACAGCTGCTCGCGGGTCTTCTCCAGTTGAACGTTCAGAACGAAGGTACTTTTGCTGTCGCCACTGCCCAACAGATCCTTGCTCCCCTTGCTCCCGATGGGCGAGTCCAAGCCCATGCCACCACTCCCAGCAACTTTCTTCAAGGCCTCGTTGTGAGACTTCAAATCCTTAGATTCCATTTCAGAACGTCGCCAGTCCTCCTCTTTCCGAAGCAGGAATCGCATGGCCGTCTCATGGTAGCCGTGGATGAGCCGGTGCATCTCCATACGCTGGTGCCCAAGCATCGTCTCCATGGCCTGGATGCTGAAGAAGGGATCGGCCTCCACAGCGATGGGCCGCAGGGCTTTCAGCGCCTTCTCCCCCTGCTTGTCCTCGGCGAAACGGTTCGGACCCAACCGACACTTCGAACACAACCCTAGCTGCCTCCTTCTCCAGGAAGTTGCTGTCACCATGACGGGCCTCAGGCGACACAACGGAGAAGGAAAAACTCTGAAGCCCGGTACGCCGGTAGGGTTATCCGTCATGCTTCGGCCACGGCCTTCACAACCTCTCTGCGCTTCATTGTGAGGCCACACGACTGAGCCAACTCTGCCAACGGATTATCAGAAACGACTGCGCTCATGTGAACTCATTGCTGCTCATGGTGCTTCATGACTTCATGACTGCATGACCAAAAGCTACTGAAGGAGGCTGTGTCCCTTCAACCCAGTCTGCTTGACTGTTGCATCATCCAGCTGGGCCAAATCCACGGCGGGATCCTCCAAGATCGAAGGGTCGGCGAGATCGTCGTCGACATCGACATGTCTGTCCTGCGCATGATCACTCTCGCGGCCCGTCTTCCATCTCGTGACTACGAGTTTCCATTGTTCACCACATGCGCTCAGAGTATCCCAGAGTCCCGGATGGCAACTGCCAATCGGCACCTCGTCAGCAAAGTCAGCTTTGGGCAGAGCCTTGTACCTCAAATACTGTACAAATGAGGCCGCGGCGTACAGCAGAAAATTATGCCATGGAACGTGAGCGCACCTGTCGAAGGACATAAACGCAGCCCGAGCTAAGCGAAGCCCCAAACCTGAGAGCCCTGCCTGTTGAGCCCCGGCCCTGCCGGCAGCGGCGGGCTTTCATGGACGGCCTGGCACGATCTGGCACTGTAGAAAGAGCCAGGAATTGCTGGATGCGAACCACGAGCCTGTCAGGCCATGGCTTACCGTATTGCAAACAACGAAGAAACCTCGAATCCAATTGGGCCGAAAGGCCCAACGGATCAAACACAATGCAACACTCCTGAGCACATGTTTGTCTGTTCAGCATATAATACAGTTCTGTCGGCTCTGCAGCGCATTTTCTTCAAGATTCGGCACTTGTCTCAAGCCGGGTCCAGACAACTTCTCCTCGTGCTTGGGCATACTTGCCCCACTTGAAAATCCTACTTGTAACACAGGTGAAAGCTCTGGCAGCTAGCGAAATAACACTGTAGAGACAGCGAGACTATGTACCAGCGCTACCAGAACCGTCGCCACTACGGATCTTGCGATCTGGAGTCAGGACCGTTCTCCATCTGAATTCGAGTATGAGTTCGAGCAGTCACAATTCCGAAGATCCTGAGCATCCTGTTTTGCTTTTGCCTGCTGCTCACCCATATGTTGAGATAAAATATGCTTTATGCCCACGGGCCAACATGTGAGCGACTGTGCAGACTAAGCAAACTGTGTTTAAGGAACGACTCCATCTGCGTGAAGACCTCGGACTTGCTGTGTAGCTCACACGGATGTGGGGCAGCACAACCGCTATTGCATCTCGCCCATAAGGGGCGAGAAACAGATCATCTCCACGAAGGTCGCCATCATGAAAAGTAGGAGGGTCACGTCCAGAAGTGTTGTCAGCTGGCAGCGAACTGCCCCAACTTCTGTACCAGGTCACCGCTCTTGCGCACGGCCGCCCAAGACCTTCCGCACCGAAGACCCGGCAGCGACAGGCTCGAGAACTCCACGAAGTCGACTCTGCTTCGCATGTGATCCAGCCATGTCCAGCCTCAAGCTCAAGTTGTAGGGGCAGCACGGCACTCTCGACTGAACACCTCCAGGAGCAACCCTGTCCGAGATCCGCACCCGACCATAGATTAAGCTTCAGCTCGGCACTCTAGGAGTCATCCGAAAAGTTGGCATCGACTTCCTGGCAGCAAAATCGCAACAAGCGTGTCTGGATACTGTGAGAAGCGTTTGCACGGTTGCCTCATCCTCCTCGGCCAGGTCTCGCATTCCCTCGTAAATGTGTGCCCTGTGGGTCGGCGTAGCTTTTCAATGTGCCGATCCGAAAAAGCTGCAAGTACTACAAGGCCACTTGACAAGCGCCTGGAGCAGGCACCACCCCAGACGACGTCAGAGTTCTTTCCCCTGCTCTCCACCTTCCAGGGTTTCCGTCAGTTCTTTTCAGCCAACGAATCAACTCTTTCGCCAGCCTGTGATCGCAATGCTAAGAACTTTGTCACCGGGGGCCTTCTCTCACGGCAACAACTGTGTTTTCTATGGGATCGTGCAGGTTGTTGTGAGCACCGAGCATCCCTTCGTGAATCTCCGTGGGGAAGGCCTGGAAACATTTAAGCAACGGCTTGGGGGCCAAACTTCACGCAGCAGCCGTTTGCTTCTGGGCATATGTGGCTTCCTGCCAAGTGAAGTTCTGCGAGCAGGCATCGTCGCCGCAAAGCTTCACGAACACCATGACCTGGCATGCTCCAGCCACTTCCAACCATGCACGCAACCATGTCTGTTCGCTTATTATGCCACAATTCATCGGACGTTGGTGTTGGCGACCCGCTCTCCCATGTTTTACGGAACGGCTGTCACAAAAGGTCAATCATTCTGTGATTTGTGCTTTGAGGTGGGTTTTTTCCCGATACAACTTCGGTGTGTCAAACTTGTGTCAACAAACCTCGAGACGTCGTCTGGTGTCGGATTCTTCCTTCGACGGCCGATGTTGTCTTGCAACTTAAATTTTTTGAAGGCCACGATTAACATCTTGCATCTGGGAGAAAACAACGAAACGCCATGAGCTTGCCATGAGTTTGTTCTGACGTTCCCGAATAAAAAAAAAGTTCGAGCGTGGGAGACCAAAAACATGCAAGGGGGCAGCAGGGAGGAAAGAAACTCGAGAGGAGGACACCGGCGAATTCTCGCATCTATTCTCAGACGCTGGCGCACCTTCTGCCCATCGCCGTGGACTCTTTCTTTTGGTTAGGAACAGCTACCACGCACAAACCATCCCAAAGGAATGGCATCAGCCCATCCGACCCAGGACCAACATTTGGCCGCTAGCCGCCTACTGCGAAAGGAGGCTACCAGGATAAAGTCGGCAGACCTGCCTGTCCCACTGCTGAACCTGCACCAAGGTACCACAAAGGCTTGGGCTTGGGCCAAAAACTGTCTCCTGAACAGGCTGCTTCAGCAATCCCAGCATCATGTCGTGGCGCAGGCGAAAGGGCGAAGGCTTTGGCCTGGCTGTGACCAAAGTTCTCTCCCTTAGTCTACCTTGTGCAAGTGGCCGAAGGTTGTGGTAACCACGACAACCATGTCGGCCGGTTCAAGCTTGGCTGTCTGGTGTCATCCCGGATGCCTTTCTCCTGAATTCCCATAGCATGCAAGTTGTTCACATGGCCAGCAGGGTGGAGAGGGCATAGTGATGGTGGTGGAAGCTCACGAGCCAGCTGATAGGCCCCATCTCGTTGCCAACAAAAGCGGCCAGCATCATGGAGCTCACGGCCATAGGTAACCAGCTAGCCACGGCATGGCGAGGGGAAGGTTAGGAGAGCGAGGTCTTGGCAACCGAGGCCGATGGCGGCCATTGACAAAGTCATCCGTGCTGCTGCAATGGTGAGGGGGCGAGAAAACAACCACCAATTTGAGGAGACGGGGCAAACCACGAAGGTACCATCAAGCCTCTGAACTGGCTCAGAGACTCGAGAGGGACAAAGGGCATCTCTTCTCAGTTTCGAAACTCCTTCAGATAAGTTTACGAGCTTCGGTACCCACATGAAAGTTTTCATCAGCCCAGCGTGCAAGCCTGTAACCTTCTTCACCGCATGGCAAGTAAGTCACTTGATGCCTTAGACCATTGCAGAGGGTCTGCTTGGGAAAACGTTTGCGAGGTTTCTCTTCCAAACACCTCCTCATCGCCCCACATGTACATACACACACAGAGACTAATTGAAACAAACAAGCGTGCAGGCATGCACACTTTTAGACAAACGACGTCTCAACCGCGGACGATGCCAACGGTGTGCCCATCCGACGAAGCCAATGCTGGTCTACATGGTTGCGTGTGTAGGTATATATATATATATATATACATACATTTTTTCGTTGCAGGTGCACGTACAGATCGCCTGTTAGTGCGGCCACAAGTCAGACTGAGTGCTTCTTCCCGCTGCATCACAAGTTGATCCAACGACACAAACTCTAGAAAGTACGGTCTTAGCGTGAGTGAACTGGTGCCAACGTTCGAGATCCACGACCCCTCGAAAATGTGATGCTCAGATTGTTGCATGGATGATGATGGTGATGATGATATGATGAAGATGGCGATGATCATGGAGATGATGGAGATGATGGTGATGAAGGTGCTGATGGTGATGATGATTTTGATGATCATGATCATGATGATGACGATGATGATGGTGACACCAGTTATGCACAAGACGGCTCTGCCCGTGACCCCCACAACATTGGCCCAGGCCAGTGCCACAGACGTCTGAGTTCCGGCCCGCGCCGATCTTGTCGAAGTGAGGCAGCTGTGACAGCTAGTAGTGTAGTTTCGGTGGCTTTGATAGCTTCTCTGCAAGTTGTAAATCCATCACTTTTTTTGCTAACGAATCGGCAATAACCAGTATCGCGATGAACGTGCTGGACCCACGGGTCGGCATTCCTTCACCGAAGGTGTCGGATTTTAGCTTCTGGACAAGCAGACGTAACACGCCCTCGCGGCCATCGCGTGGAGAGAGAGAGAGAGAGACAGACAGAGATGATGATGGTGATGATGATGATGGTGGTGCTGGGGATGGTGATGGTGCCGCTGCTCTTCCTCCTCTTCATAGACCCTGCGAGGCATCGCGAGACATGGCAAGATTGTGCTGGTAGCACTGAATTCCATTCTCACAAAGGTACTGCTTTGTCTTTTGTTTCATGTTGAGCCCATTCACGCCCCAAAGTCTTGTTCACGTCCTTTTTGTCTTCTCAGATACCCATTGGCAATATCAAGAAGCCTGTCCCTGCGATGTTGGATCTCGCAGGTTCGTGACCAAGGTGCGCACCTCCTGCTCAAGAGTCGCGACCCGATCATACATGTTTAGATCCTTGGTATTCACATTGTGAGCCCTGCCACGAAGCTCAACACAAGAAGACCTTTAGTCTTACTAAGATGACGTCGTTTGCATCATCACCAAAGGGATTCTCCTGAGCAGAAGCTTTGCTGGAAATCCTGCTTGACGTTGCAGATCCGGCAGACTCTTCTGTCGAACTTGGTAAGACTTCGGCCAGCTCAGTCGCAATGCAATCCAAACCTTCAGCATTTGCAGCGCCCGTGCACGAGAACGTTTCACTTGTGCGCCCACAAAGCTTCCGGCCCAAGAGAGCTACAGCCAGAAGGGTGTTTTCCACGATATTCACCCACAAGCCGAGCTCCTTGAGTGCTGTGAAAATGCGATGCCCAACAGCCACGTTAGAAAAGTCCTTCTCGATGTAGAACGGAAAACAAAGGAAGAACCTGAGACTTCGTTTTCTAATTCGGCGGCCTGAACTGTTTTTGATCCATTCCTGTCATTACTGCTAGTAGTATTTCTACTCTTACTCTTACTCTTATTCTCACTCGTACTCTACTCTTACTCTCACTCTTACTCTTACGATTACGGTTACAGTTACGGTTACGGTACCCTTACGATTCACTACTACTACTACTACTACTACGACGACGACGACGACTACTACTACTACAACTACAGCTACTACTACTGCTACTGCTACTGCTACTGCTACTGCTACTGCAACTGCTACTGCTACTGCCACTGCTACTGCCACTGCTACTGCTACTGCTACTGCTACTGCTACTGCTACTGCCACTGCTACTGCCACT